TAGAGATCGCTGTTTCTACTGTGGAAACAGGTTTGTAGGATTACAATTCTACAAGCCAGCTCTGCTTTGGTTACCTGTTGAAAATCAAGCTCTGGCTCCTTGGCCGGTGTCAGCATCCACTCAGCTTTAAAATCACTGGTTTGGCACACAGTCTATGCAACTGACCTGTTATTAGCAGCTGTCCTGGGCGCAGTTTGCTCTTTATTATCACATTTCATTTGTCTTTTCATGTAACACAAATTCAGGTGTCCATTTTTGAGATTATATACGTTGTAGATGAATTTTCCTTCTTCCACCGCAGAAACGAAATTTAGTTGATTGTAGCGCCAGCATGCAGGAAAAAAAAGGCATGTGTTATGACTTTTTTTCTATTTGCCTAATGTGCAGATAATTGAAGAACCATTATAATGCAAGTAGTAATGTAATTACTGAATTTAGTATAGCAATATGTTACATTACTGCATTATAGAAAGTTGCATCCATAATTAATGTGTGAGCCCAAAGCTCAGGCACCAGACAACTCAAAACACTACAATTTCAGACATTTTTTTTCTACTATTTGATATATATGATGTCACAGAGAGGATATTCCTAATATGGTCAACTCAGCTAAAACTGTAAGCACAGGAGGGCCATCTAGCTGCTGTTGAAACTTTCTATCTGTGAGTGCCAGCCAATGCGAATAAAGTTGTCTAAATGGGAGGAGCTAAAACAGTTTAGATAAATAGACAGTGAATGAAATGTAGGGCTGCACCAAGGCCCAGTATAGGATAAATAAGGATTATCTGAGCTGTAAATCCTGAAAATCTACTCTACTGGAAGGCAAGAATTGAAAAAATATTTAATTTTTGCCCAAGCTAGTTTGTTCTTCTTAGAACTTCTCGAGTGTTAAATCACTTCAGTTTCTGGTCACTTTTAAAAATATAGTTAATATTAAAGTTAATATTTACAACACAGATTGTGATGAAAATCATGTAGTCATGGTCACAAGGTCCACATTCTTTTTTAGCTTCAGATTCAAAAACATATTGCAAAATATAAGAGGAATGGTCACCCTTGACCTTTCGACCCCTTATCTGTAGTAAAATATTACCTTGCACCTTGTTTTTATTGATATTTCTACTATACCCAAAGCATCTCGTTCTTATCTTCAGCATAAGCCAGATGAAGATAGTACCTTTACCAATGTTACATAAACAGACTTCATATACACTTTGCGCATTCTATTTATTTTAACTCGAAAATTTCTATTAACCCTGCTGAATTGATGCAATAGGATGCAATTGGGTTTTGATCGCCGTGTTGTCATAAACACAGACTGATGCACGTTGCGCATCCTGTCTCTGCGTCCATGCATGCAAAGTCACTGTTTGCACACAAACATGTAGGCGTGTGTCAGACAGAGGTCTACGGTGTCACATGAATAATTCAGCGGTGCGCTGGTTGAACATAGGCCCGGGAGCTATCAGGTTACAGGAAGTAGGTTGGGTGCATCCACAACACAACAGCCAAGGCACAGCCAGAAGCCATTTACTACTGTACTTTGACCATGTGGTCATTTAACATCTATGCATTACCGCTATTGATTGACATAAAAGCCGGACAAATTCAGCTAAACCGTAATTAGCTGGAGACCATGACCCAACATAAGATTGGAGAAAGGCGTTACAAAGAAGCTGAACAGCAGATTAGAGTCTGGAGGGATCAAATTGGAGGAGACAGAGGAAATTACTGTCCCTTGCCGCAGCTGATAATCTGTACCTTCATTTAAAAAGAAAAAGAAAAGAAACCTTCATAGTGGTCAGCAAAACACTGACACTGCTACCATTCAATTTCATTCTATAACACAGCTGTTGAAATTCTTGGTGGGAGATGCTGCTGTTGGCACACCGCAGCCTCTTTGACACCTAACAGATTGTTATATTTCAGCGGCTAGTCTGTGAAATTTCTGCCTCAGGGTCTCACTCGCTTGTCAAGGTTCATGGAGGCTGAAGAGTTGGATTTAAACTACTGCTGGCCGTCTTCTGTATTCATACTGTTTGCTTTATGATCTCCAGTTAATTCACGCACACACACACCAACATATATATATATGGATTCTGGATCTTTCTGGATGTTTTTGAAAATCGAATGCAGAGCTCCAGATTTAGTTTCATCCAAATCTCCCATGAAAACCCTGCTAAGATTAGGCAGAGAGCAGCACTTTAAGCAGGCCTGACAGATGGACTGCCCAATTTACCCATGAGCTGTGAGTAAGGGACAACACTCACTAGCCCCACCCCTGCCAACAGTTCGTTTCCCCTTCAATATATGAAGCCCCCAATCTTCCACTCTTCTCTCCACTCCACCAGTTTCTTACCACTTGAGCTCCCATTAAATCCTCTTCCTCTGCCATGAGCATACCGGGACCTCCTCTGCCCGTGTCCAACTGTGCCTCGCATCCAGTTATTCTGCTAATTCCCGCTGTGCTTGCTAATAGAGGTTGGCAGGGAGAAATGCTCACTCCTTTTCCCTCCATTTCTTCATCGACTGCCATCCTCCTGATGCTGGAAATTAGTCTGAGAATTAGAGGGAAAATTGGGTCTCACCTCTCAGGGAACATTTTAAGAGGTGAAAAATGAAAGCTAGCAGCTCACCTTTTTGTCTGCTCGCACCAATTATGAATCTCCCAATCTGCTAACTCCAAAATCTAATTAAAGTATAATAACACATCTGCCATCTCTCTCGCGCGCTCTCTCTTTTCTTCACTCAGTGACTTCTACTGAAAACTATACAGGTACCAGTCAGGTTTTGAGTCTTCAGTGTTGCATAGTGCAAAGGGTCTGAATGCTTTTAATACATATTTTTGTTTTGTGCAAGATAATTCAGACCAAGTGCATAAATAGTTAAAGAAGACAGTGAATATAAAGCAGCGACTGTGCCAAAAAGGAGTTTTGAGGAGTTTCATGTTGTTCTATAAACAGTTTTAAAACAGTAGTTGTGAACAAATGCAGTACTATTTGCTGAGATGCTGCCTCAGCATTTTAATTTAGGAAAAAAAATACATTTTTGTTGTTGCATTTATTTAAACAAATTGGATACATAGTGTTTTGATTAGTGTATAGACATGACAGTTCTATCAATCTAATTTCTTTCATTAACTTTTGGATTTAAAGTAAATGCCATAGATCTAAAAAAAGGGCACAGCCACTATGAGATTACCATTTGGTTTCTGCACTCTCTTTTCAAGGTTCAGTGCATTCCGGGCATTTTTTTGCTTTTTTTTCTTTGAGAAGTGACCATATTTGGATGAGATTAACTATGTGCAACAAGGCAATGATGTTTAACCTTCCAAAATCTTCCTCTTTTTACACACAGCAGAGAAAATCAGTAAATGGCCTGTATTTGTATAGCGCTTTACTAGTCCCTAAGGACCCCAAAGTGCTTTACACATCCAGTCATCCACCCATTGGTGATGGCAAGCTACATTGTAGCCACAGCCACCCTGGGGCGCACTGACAGAGGCGAGGCTGCTGAACACTGGCGCCACCAGGCCCTCTGACCACCACCAGTAGGCAACGGGTAAAGTGTCTTGCCCAAGGACACAACGACCGAGACTGTCGGAGCCGGGGCTCGAACCGGCAACCTTCCGATTCCAAGACGAACTCCCAACTCTTGAGCCACGATCGCCACAAAATGTTTTTGCATTTTATTAAAGAAATTTGAAGCAGGTGTAAATGTAAAAATCTTATATAAATCTTATATTTAAAATTGATACATAAGGATATGCATAAAACCATATTACATTAGGGCAGCAACTTTTGAAGTTTGATATGGATTTTTTGCAACAATATTTGAACAATATTTGAACAGACATACACAACACTGAGAAATTCTAGCTACAGGTATCAGGACAGCATCCATGTGCCAGGTCATGAGGTCCCCCATTTTCCATAACCGCTTATTTTCATTCAAGAACAGATTATTGTGGAATGTGTGATAGAAAATGTTAAATATCTATGTCTACTCATTTGAAAATATGAAATTTAATTTAGGTCTTTCTTTAGAGGAAACAAAACATTCGTCTTGACCTGGGTCTTCATGTGCAGAAGTCAAGCTTATATCTGTGCAAACCAGTGTTTTACAAATGAACCAATATCCTGTTAAGACCACTATGTATAACAGCCAGAACTGTGAAGATATGAGTGAAACTATGCTGTTTTTGTTCCATGGTGGAAGTTCATGGTCATGCTTTTCCTTTAATCCTGTCTGTCATGGTTCCACTTATTCATTTCTTTAGTTAAAGAAATGTCATCTTCTCTCAATTATAAGAGAGAATACAGGATGATATAAACACACGCGATACAATCAGCTCATGTAGGTGGTATGAGCCCTTAATTGTCCTGTTTTCAGGGATAAAAGGACCTTTCAATATCTGTGTCTGTGACCTCTTAGTAACATCCTTTCACACTGATTTTGTTTTCTATCCTTGAGGAAGGAAGCATGGCCTGAAGGTTTGTGTGCCATTTCATACATTGTAGCATTCATTCATAAACAAATTGGAAGCTCTTAGAAGACCAACAAACTCACTCATTTATGAAAAAGCTTTCAGTTTTCCATTCTGTTTTAATTCATAGACGCTTAGTTAAGCCTTCCTAAATGCATTTTAGTTGTGAGGTTGGAAGAGGGCATCCATGAGCCCTGTTTGGTTCTTTTTCAACAAAGCTAATACCATAGCTCATGACCATGAGCCTCCTGGTGGTGCAAAGAGTTAATCCCGAGAGCGTCTTATTAGTATATTTAACTTCAAGTAGGAGATGTAAGGGGCGAAATGTGTCCAAAAGTGTGTAGTAATCAGTGGGCATTTCAAATACTTTTAGCTGTTTTTTTTTTTGTTTGGGGTTTTTTTGTGTGGTTTATGTGATTTTGTAAAAAAAACAAAAAAAAAACCCTCTCTGCTCGTGTCTTAGATTTTTATTTTGCTGGAAGTGATTGGTGAGGTGATTTTTATCCTCTTGCAGGTCTTCGTCATGGCCTGGGTCAGTTGACCTTCAGCGATGGGACGTGCTACACTGGACAGTTTGAAAATGGCCTCTTCAATGGTTGTGGGGTGCTGGTCTTTCCTGACGGCTCCAGGTTTGTCAGTCACTTTTTGCACACTCTGGTTGTTAAACCTTGAAACTCTGCACCTGAAATTTTAAAACCTGCAAATAAGTATGTCGTACAGAAGATACAACCCCAGCCTCCTCCTGAATGAAACCTGTCTGATTTGTTCCTTCATTACTTCTGTCATGTAAATAATGTACATAATGCTTGTGCTGGTTTTCAGCTTTATTTCCATACGAAATAATCAATGTGAGAAATTTATACAACAGTAGAAGAGTACAACAGTATCTCAACAGTCTAACTTTGGTGGTACATGTGACTGAAAAAGCTTCTGCACAGAGCTGAAAGAAGGATAGATTTTGTTTCTTTCTCTGCTTCTGTTGATTAAAAATATCCAATCATAAAGACATCGAGAACAATGCAGCTAAATGAAGCATGATGAGCACTGCTGTGAGGAAAGGACTGTCACACACAAAAGCTGAGGTGAAAAATCAATGAGAAGATATTCTAGTGCAGACCTACTCTGTACTATGTTACCTCTCCATGGAAATTCTAAGAGGCAACACGAATAACATGACATAGAGGAGCTGGGGTGGCGGCGGGTTGTGTGCGTCAGCGACTGTCTGCAGATATATGTATGTATA